CCAAATTCATATGCTGAAGTTCTGACCCCCAGTGTGACTGTATTTGGAGACAAGGCTTTTAGAAGGAAATTAAGGTTAAATGAGGTCAAAGGGTGGGGTAATACTTTGATAGGATCAATTGTCTTAGAAGAGGAGGAGAGATTTTTCTCCCTTTCTCCCTACCTGCACTCCAAAGAATGATCAAATTGTTAGAGCAGGCAGATAGCTAGATATGAGCAAAGGGGGATACCGACCAAATGGCAGAAATTGGGCAGAAAGGAGGGGCACGGGCCAAATGCAGGAAATCATACATCATGTAAGCACCAGGGGTCCCTGGGCAGAGAAAGAATAGCAGGAAACTTTGGGCTGATAAGGGGTCACACGGTCACACTTTTGGGGATTATAAGTGGCCCAGAGTCCAACAAAGAAAGATGGGAAAAGGCAGGAATCTCCAGTGTCTGAATGTAACCTTTTGCTTATTATACCCTCATTTCAATAAAATTAGCCTTGCAGATTAGAAGTACCCATCATGTGCTGACACCATGACACTTCTGATCCAGACTAAATAAGGACAAAAATCCCTCCTCCCTTTGGGAAAGTGGAATTGGAATTAAAATCAGGAAATATGACCCCAGACCCTTCCCTCCCTGATGAATATTCCGCCCATTCATTTTTACATCGTATGTACCCAACTTGCCAAAGAAACTCGGGGCAGCTGCTCACCTGAGCCTGCCTGCTTTCTCCTTGAGAGTCTCACTTTACTTTTTTAACCACTATGTCTTGTCTCTGAATTCTTTCTGGGACAGGACAAGAACCTGGAACACCAATTACATCCACCGGCAACAAAATGAGCACACAGCAAGAAGGCAGCTGTCTGCAAGCCAGGAAGACAGCTCTTACCAGAACCCAACTATGCTTGCACCCTTATCTTAGACTTCCAGCCTTCAGAGTTGGAGAATAAATCTGTGATTTAAGTCACTAGTCTATTGTATTTTGTTACGGCAACTGGAACTGACTGATACAACATCATTTTGTTCTTAACATATATTTTGGCATTAGGCAGATGCAAATTTTGAAATACTTTTATATTTCTTTGTCAAATACATTTATTTCTCCCTCACTGTGTCTCATTAAAACAAAAATGATGGCTGTCTATTACTTATTTAAGAAGTGGCATCCAAAAGTAGATTTCTTTTATTTTCTTTTAAATTTTCCACTGGTCATCCAGCCTCTTCTGAGTACTTAATACTGCTACTTTCTGCTGCTCTTGAGGTCTACAGCTGTGAAATGCCATCAGCATACTTTCTTCTGGTAAGCTACTATTACATGTCTCCAGAGATATTCAGTATGAGAAATACATTAAGAGGTTTCTATAAGTTTGATAGAAAAAACATAAGTCTACACTCTATGAGATGAGAGAGAAAGGTATAACTCATAGCTATATTTCACCAAAGAAACGTTGGTTATATTATATAACCACTCTTCAATGACCTGAAGAAGCTCTTTGTGCAGTGACATACTTGGCAAAATTAACACACAGAGCAGTCATTTTTGACACTCTTACACTATCCCCATACAGCCAAAATAATACTTGTAATAATCATTAAATTAACTGAGTAATAATGAACATAAAAGAAGCAGTGAAAATTTTCTTTTACTGAGCATTCTATTCATAATCACACAAATAACCATGAATAAAAAATAAAATCATTTTACAGCATGAAAAAGAAATAGCAAGGCTTAATGCTTTTTTAATTGCATTATTTGTATTCTTTTAATAAAGAGAAAAAAGTATGCCAATGTATGGGTCTCTTGAAATATATTGAAATAACGAACAAAAATATTATAATCTCTATTTTTAAGTCTTAGGCAAATTTGTCAATGACTTTGTCAAAATCCATTTTCTACAGATATTCACATTCAATAGATAATTAATCCAGTATGTCAACATATTTGCTCATAGTTGATGTAAGATCATTAATATTTTCTATTAATTTTAACTTCAAGATGTTTACTTTACATGAAGTCACAAACATACAAAGAGTGAATGTCTTAAACATACGAATAAATTTGGCAGAGATACATATAAATTCGATTTCACAGTGAAATAAATTATCTCCTTATTTGAAAAAAAACTTTAAGAAATTTAAAACTCCAAGTGATCGCATAGAATGACAGAATCAATGTAATTTAAGCTCTATTTCTTCATAATTATGGTCACTATTCTGGTATTGTTTGTTTCAAATCTACTACTTCAATACAGGAATATGGTATACCATAGGGTGAGGTTGAACAATTCTGGACTGTTACAAACTTACTCTCAAAATTAATGCTTATAGCTGAATCCACATGAACCAGGAGTTAACTATGTAATCAGAGATCTCTAATTAACTTCATAAAATACAATGTTTTCTAAAGGATAATAATAAAAATGTGTTGACACTTACATGTGTATCATTAAAACTCAACAGTAACTTGAACAAAAGCTAAGAATTTAAATCAACAAAAGACTTTTTCTGGGAGGATTATTTTATAATTGATATTATAGAGTGACATTATTTCTTTTACTGGCATTGCTCACTTAAGATGGTAATAAAAAGCAGACTGACTTTTACTTAATTAATTTTTTATATTCTCTACTGACAATCCCTATTGTCTGTACCTGGAGTAGACCACTCCCATGGCCTCGCCTTAGCTACAAATGAATTTATACTTTAATTTGACCCAGGAGATCTTGCTTTAAGTCTCCTGAGAAAATACAAAAGACTCATGATATGGATGTGAAAATTATGATTTAGGGTCCATATACATGGTATTGAAGCTTGAGATTTACTTCCACTAAAACCATCTACTTCCTCTACTACCTGATTTATTTTTCCTTTACTCCCAGTTTAGTATCTCTGCCAACCTTGGTAGGGTGACCCTAAGCCTTATTTCTTATTCCTCAGTCACCATACCCATCTCAAGCTGGGGTTTCTGCATTTGACCATTTACCAGTAAAATTGTTCAGCCAATATGTTGGGGAAATACAATTAAAACAAAATCTCTTCCCAGTCCCCAAATCTTTTCTACAAAAGTAGCAGAGAAAAAAAACAGTTTTCTTATTGAATAAGCATTAACCCAGAATGTGATGATATGCATCACAAAAAATATTCCAAGAGAATGCAAAGACAGAACAAAATCTGACACTTTTATATAGCTAAGCAGGTACAACCCATTACAGACATGCATTTAAGGTAAAAAAAAAATAATTAGTCTCAAGTAAGAGGACTTGACAGTACCTATTGTTAATCATAGTTCACCCTAACTTTATCATGGTTATTAAGGAGCCCACATGTATTAGCTAATTGGATTTTTTACGAGGAGACATAAACTTCTCATATCTTTCTGGCAGAAAGAAGTGTTCCAAATTGGAGCCAGACTCCTACTGAAGTAAGCTCTTACCCACTCACAGGAACTGGGAGATAAGGGAGCTTTGTGTCTGAATCTCAAAAAGATGGCTCTCAACTTGTTTGCATTTCAAGGAGGTGGACCCCAGGTTCTTAATAAATATATTCCTGGGTCATAAAGCTGAGAAAAGAAAACTGTCTGACAAAAGGCCTATCTAGTTCTCAAAGGGATACATTTCAAAGAGATGAGAAAGTAAGCACATTTACAAGTTTTCTAAGGTAAATGCTCTGACTCAGAGGAGGGGAGAAAAATGTATTTTCTTACTTTCAACAGAGGCAATGAAACCTCTTATTTTTAATTCATATTTGTTCTTACAAGTACAAAGAAACACCCCAGGTTATCAGCTGGGTGCCAAATGTATTCTTCCCTGGTCCTGTTCTATAGCAGCAACCTTAACTCATCCTGATTATCAAGTTAAATTCCTTCTGCCAGAATGGTGGCTTCTTTCCTGCCCTGCTGATCTCTTGGAACCTAAACTGGCCAGGAAGCAATTGTAAGTTAAAGGTGTGGACCCTTCCTGAGAATTCTAGTGGAACCAAACCTGTTGGGAACCAAACCCTTTGACTTACAAAACTTCAGAATTGTGGCAAATGAAAAGTACCAACTGTACAAGTAGGTCACTGGGAGTAATGGTTATTTGGGCCACTCCTACTTCTTCGCCTTTGTTCTCAGATTCCTGTGCTCTATCTATTGTGGACAAGAACTGTATAACGGTCACCACTTTAGTGTGTATTCTCCATTGTGGAGGGTCAGGCACCATCCTTGCAGGGCATCACTTTTTAATCTCACACCCTAGATGTGCCTTCTAAAGACCATTGTTTTTCTATTAGGCCAGCACATTCCGAGTGGCACAATATGTGATATGACCAGCTGATCCCATGGTTGTGTGCCCTTTACCTCACATTCTTTGCTGTATTGTCTACCTCAGATATCATTCTATGTGGGATCCCATGCCAGAGGATGAAACACACTGTAAGCCCTCAAATAGTGGTGCTGCCTGAGACCCTGTGGGAAGGAAAACAAACCCATACCTAAAACATGTACTGATTTCAGTCAATATTAATTGCTGTTCCTTGCAGAGTGCAAGATGTTCATTGTAAGCAATTGGCCATAAAGTGGCTGATTGGACTCCTTGACAGATAATAATGTATGCAGGCTCATTATTAATCTCTATTGCAGAAAAGTAGGACTTTATATAGGTCAGTTTTGGTAAGTGGTAGCCCATACTCATGTCTATCCCCTTTCCCTGACAGTATGGCTACCTTGTTTGTATGTCCATTGTACTGGCAATGGAGTTGATAAGGATAGGGGCTAGTTCACATCGTTTGGCTGAATCATTCTGCCTACTTTGTTGTTTAATGCCTTTTTCATTGAAGGTGCTCTGTGGTAGGTGTTAATGTGTAATACAAAAATCATTATACTTGTACCAATTCTCATAGAAACATACACATGCCTCTTTCCCAGCATTCCTTGTTCCTGAATTTCTACTCTTGCCCCTTCCAGGCCATTGACCAATGGTATACACTCTACAAAGCTGTGTGTGTGTGTGTATATACACACACATCCTTTTTTAAAATATAAAATGCTTTACAAATTTGCATGTCATCCTTGCATAAGGACCATGCTAACCTTCTCTGTATCCTTCCAGTTTTAGTATGTGTGCTGCCGAAGCGAGCACTACACACACATTCTTAACGAGGGCCATTTTCTCTCCACACAAAGTGATACAAAGCTAGTTTCTCTTCACCAGTGTCTTTCAGGGCTACCCTGATTGGGATTATAGTGCACTGGCTATTCATTTTCCACTCATGCCCACAAACCAAGCTGACCCATTGGTGAAGGAAACTTGACACTTTCCTCTTTGGTTAGATGGTCATAAGGAAAACTCATATATGATCATAGATATAAAGTCAGGAAAAGTGACTGGTGCAACAATGGTGAATGGCATGTGAGTCTATGCCACCTGCTGTTACAGCTTATTTGTTATCTTGACCATACTTATGCTGGATCCCTGATCTACCATTTCCATTTGCTTCTGGGCCTGCCTAACACCATGAGTGGGTCTGATGTGACTCAGATCATGACAGAAAGTTCTGGCTGCATGGTGCTCCAGGGACAAGGACCCTGTTTGTAAACACAGCACACCAAGAACTATTTCTTAGAAATGAATTTTGTTGAGATATAATTTATATACAATAAACTACACACATTATTGGTATACAGTTTGATGAGTTTTGACAAATGCATACACTCATTTATCACACCCCCCAAATCAAGCTATAAACATTTCTAGCACCTTAAAATTTATTTGTGTCCATTCCCAGTCAATTCCCACCTTCCCTTCTAGTTCAGGGAATCACTGATTTGCTTTCTGCCACTATCATTTAGATTTGTCTTCTATTGAGTTTCATATAAGTGTCTTTTGACTTTTTTTATTCAGCATTGTATTTTTAAAATAAATACATATTGTTGCATGTATCAGTAGCTCTTTCATTTTTATTGCTAAGTGATAGTCTTTTATACAGTTATACCATCTGTGTGGTTAAGAATTAACCTTATCCAAAGAGAGGTCTGGCTTTTGCCCTCGGTTACTGGAATGTGACCTCTAAGTTTGTGAAATGGCATGCCTGACAGAAATGCATTTGTTTGCTTTAGGGCCACTGGAGAGTCTAATGAATTACAATTCATGAGGGGGGCTTTGGGCCACACTGTACTGAGTCTACCTCCATAGGGACTGGAGACTAATGTTCAGCCACATAGGCAGTATGCTCTTTAGCCTCAATAAACTCTGGGCATCAAAGTTCAGTTAACCTTCCCTAGTTGGCAATATTCAACACACATCTTTATACATCAGTGTTGGGACTGTAATGCTGCCCATGACTCCAAGTGGAAAGGACAACAAAAAGGACTCTGCTCTATGTGCTTCTTCCTTTGGCTGGTTTTAATCTGTATTCTTTCATTGTAATAAAGCATAACAGTGAATAGAATAGCTTTAAGTGAGTTCTACCAGTCCTTCTAGTGAATTATCAACCTGAAGATGGTTTTGAGAATGCCTGTGAACTTGCAGTTGGAGTCAGAAGTGAGAGAAGTCATGTGTAGACTATGTTCCTTCTAACTTCATAGTTGGCTAACACCTGCACCATCATTTGTTATCCATTTGTGCATGGGAGAATATTTATGTTATTTCTAGTTTAAAATGATTATGAATGGAGCTACTATGAATAGTAATATAAAAGATTTGTGTTGACATATATTTCCATTTCTCTTGGGAAAATTCCTGGGAGTGGGATTGCTAGATCAAAATGTGTGTATGTTTAACTTCAGAAGAAAATATTTTCCAAAATCATTGTCCATTTTACATTCTCATCAGTGATGCATGAGAGTTCCAGTTGTACATATCACCAACATTTACTACTATTAGTCTTATTAATCTATTTTAATAGGTGTGTAGTGATATCTTGTCATCTCTAATTTGCATTTTATTGATGATTAATGATGTTAAGCACCTTTTCCTGTCCTTATTGGCCATTTGTATACCTTTTTTCAGAGAAATGTCTGTTAAAAATCTTTACTCAGTTTTAACAAGCAATACATGGTCCTTCATACCTTTTTGAAATGAACTCCTTCCAACTACCCCCTTTCCAAGGCATCTACTGATCAACTTTCTGTCACTATATAGTTTTGCCTTTTGTATGATTTCATATCATGAAAATCATATGTAAGTGAAATCATACAAATAAATAGTTTTGTGTCTGGCTTCTCCCATTTAGCGTGGTGTTTTTGCAATTCAGTTTTATTGTTGCATGTATCAACAATGTAGTCTTATTTTTTATTGCTCAATAATATTCAATTGTATGGAAGTAACAGAGATTTTTTTTAAACCTATTTCTCAGTTGATACACTCATTTAAACAATATACTTAGTGTATTGGTTCCCTAGGGCTGCCATAACAAATTGCTACAAACTACGCAACTTAAAACAACAGAAATTGATTGCTTCACTGTTCTGGAAGCTAGAAGTCTGAAATCAAGGTGTTGGCAAAGTCAAGGGCTTAGCTGAGCTAGAAAGAAACTGAGCTGCCAGATGCTGGAATAGCCAATTAAAAGAATAAGCCAAAATTAAAGTACTGTCAAGACTTTAATCACTTATGTGATAGTATAAACAAAAGGCTAAACTGGAGAAAAACACCAACTTCCTCCATTGCATTTTTTCCCATCAAATTGATACCAGTTGAGAATCAGGTGCATTAGCATCTACATGATGATTGTCTCACTGCTGAAAGAACCTCAAACTAATGGTACCTACAATTTTATGGACCCAAGGGCCAGGTGGAGGGAGAGGAGGGAAAGCTAGTGGTAGAACAGTACTGAGTACAAGTCACAGCAGAGAAATCTGTCTTCAAGTTTCTCCCCTCTTCCCTTGAATAAGAAAGTCTATGCAGGGGAACCTAAGAAAGGCCTCAGCTGATGGCCCCTGATAAAGAAGTCTCTGAATGAAGGCATCTGGGCTAGGAATGCAGCTGTGTGTAAGAGAATAGCTGAACAAAGAAGCCCAAGTTCTTGACTACATCCCCCTTCAGAGACCAAAATATATTAGCTGTGTACCAAGTATGGTGTGGGGAGGGCAACTTTCTCTTGTGAAGCCTGCTAGGTAAAGCCTTTCTACTACTGATCCTTGAACAAATAACATTGGATCGAACTACATGGGTACCTCTATACACAGCTTTTTTTCAACAGTAAATACAATAAGCACTATATCATCTGCAGTTGGTTGAATCCATGGATGTGGAGGAACTACATCTATACAGAGAGCTGACTATAAATTGTACGTGGATTTTCAACTTTGCATATGGTCAGTGTCCCCAACCCTCATGTCATTCAAGAGTCAACTGTAATTTCCTATGGTCAGGCCTGAAAAATCATACAAAAGTATTTAGCCAGGACCTGGACTCCTCAGGCAGGACTGTGTTCTCTCGGAAGTCTGTAGGGGAAGATCCCTTCTTATCCTTAGCTTCTGATGGTTGCTGGCATTCCTTAGCATGTATTGGCTTGTAGATGCATCACTTTAATCTTTGCTTCTGTATTCACGTTGCATTCTTACCTCTGTGTCTCTGTGTTTAAATTCCTCTCTTATAAGGAAACCAGTCACCAGATTAGAGTGTACTCTAATCCAGTCTGGGCTCGTCTTAACTTGATTACATCTGCAAAGGCCCTATTTTCAAATAAGATCACATTAACAGGTTCTAGGTAGAGATGAATTTTGAGGTGACGCTATTAAACCCAGTATGGGGGGAGGGTATGGCTCAGTGGTAGAGTTCATGTTTAGCATGAATGAGGTCCTGGGTTCAATTCTCAGTACCTCCATTAAAAATAAATAAATAAATAAACCTAACTACACCCCCCCCAAAAAAAACAAGACAAAACCTCACTATGCTTAGTGACCCCAGTCTGAAATTATTTTTCCTGGGATTGGGGCACTTTTCCTCCTTTGCCTCCCCCTCCCCTGGCTACAGGTTGCACCCCAATTTCCTTTTTCTTTTTTTTTCATACCAAGTTTTGTGACGATTTTCTTTGTAGTTCCAATATTAAGAGATATTCTACCAAAGTTCGGTAGGTATTTTGTGTGAATTGTTCATATGTAGATGTAGTTTTTGTTGTATTCATAGGAGAGGGTGAGCACTGCATACTTTTACTCCACCATCTTGACATTTCCTTGAAATTATTTTTGATTTATTGTCTTTGTCTAGGGGCTAAGGGAAGTTGCAATTCTTTTCATTCACCTTTCCCTACTAATACAGAGTTTTAATCACCTCCAATTCACCCCATTGCCCTAGAGTTATGAGGATGGTCAAACATACTCAACACGGGACAGATGAGATCAATAGCAGTTTTTTAGTCACATATATTCACAGTCCAGAGGAGGAAGACATCACATGCCATGCAGGGCCACACATGGAGGCTGCACTTGGGAACGCAGTGAACAGCCATGGACTATGAGAAAAAGGTGTTGGTGTATCGAGAGGAAGAGGTGTCTCCTGGTTCTTACTGGAGAATATAATTGACTTGTTCAAGTGATTCCATGAGCTGGCAGGGAACTGATACTTGCTTCTCTGGGATAAGCAGAAACTGTACCTGGTCCATTTGATAAGAAACATAGTTTGGCTGGGGGACCCTATCTGCAGGAGCAGAGTGGAGAGGGGAACTTGTGGTTAGGCCATTCCAGGCCCTTCTGATTTCCTCCAGATGTCAAGGCACAGATAATATTGTGATTTCATTTTAGTCATTGTACCAAAATTAGTGCTTAATTTCACAAGCCAAGAAGTCAGTGGGAATGTTATGCCAATTATCAAGTGTATCAATTCCGATTATACATTTGGGGACCAAGGAAATATACTCTAGGTATGTCCATGGGTGGTAGATTTATGGTGACTCAGACTTAGGCCAAGACACTATTTAATACCTGGCCTCTATATGCTCTCACTCTAACAGGGGGACCATGTTGATACTTCAAGTTCTCAGGTATTAATATCAATTCAGACTCTAGATCCAACCATCCTTGATATGTCAGGGTATGACCCTTTCCTCAGTGTTTGGATATTTAAATAAATGATCATCAAAACTCTTGGAAATGGACTGGGGAATTACTATACATATAATTGCTATAGTGTTTCTGGGTCCT